CAATTATATCTACATCAATCAGCCCAACAATCCTATAAAGCAGACACTCTTATTACATGGACATTCCCATTAAGGGTACATGGACATTCCTAAAGCAAAAGGTGCCTAAATGGTAAGGTTCAACCCATAATAAAGGGACAAGTTTTGTTTCTGATATCATAGGATATAATTACACTAGAAAACCTTTATTCAAATTTTGATGACTTCAGATCCATACAGTAAACTTACCATTAAACCAGAATACTTTTTTGGTATTCTCAAAAAGAAAAAAAAACAAAAAAAAAAACAGATTTTAGTATAGGGCACACTGTTACTTTACTGTATATAATATTAAAGTAATCTAGTCAATTTTGGCCCTTAGCCATGGGATTCATTTCACTGTTACTCTACTCTACTTTACTATATATAATACTAAAATAATCTAGTCAATTTTGGCCCTTAGCCATGGGATTCATTTTTCCTTGTCCCTGTGAAAAAAAGTACTTTCATATGGGATTTCAATACTTGGATTATTCCACAGTATTTGTTCCTTTAGAAACAATATTTTATAAATTTTGGCAATTTCTCAAATATAGGAATATTATAAGCTGAACCTTTAAATCCATATAAGCTATTCAGCAGCCTTGTGTATGCAGTAGTAAGAATATATAAGATTTGATCATCCATTAATAGCACATTATCTTGAATTGAAGTAAATACAAATTCTATTGTTTTAATCAAATTTATATTTATTGTGAAATGTATAAAACTGTCATTGATAATTATTGTTTTAAACACAAACACTTGTATTATAACTCATACGTGGGCCAATTAAACCTAAACTACATTTAGTATTTAATTCATTGCTTTTGACTACGCATTAAACATCCCTATTATTTAGGAAACTAAATAAGAGTACTCCTATTAAGAGGACATGCCTATAAGGAGACATTTTTTGGTCCTGGAGGTTTACCCATAATTGCGGTTATACTATAGATTTTATTAATATTTTAAAACGATAAACAGCCAAATGCTGTTTTTAATTCTTTTATTTTTTTAATTGTTTTTAATGTTTTACTATTTTACCCCCTCTTAACAGGGGCGGATTTAGGGGGGGGCCGGCCCGGCCCCGGCCCCCCCTTTTGGGAGGTAAAAAAAGAAAAAAAAAGAAAAAAAAAGAGAGAAAAAGGAAAAAATGATGACCAAGAATGCCTCAAATGTTATGTTCGGGCGTCTAGAACACAAAAATTTCGCCGGGGGGGGGGG